GAGAGAGAGAGAGAGAGAGAGAGAGAGAGAGAGAGAGAGAGAGAGAGAGAGAGTTTCGACGATTAAAATCAGGACATATAAGAACGTGAACGAATATTGACAATTCTATTCCGGGGATATGATTGGGTTTGAGAGACCTCTGTATTTTTACGCAAAGTTAGGAAAGAGAGAGATACTCTTTTTTAGAAATAATACGGGAAATAACTTGTTATTGTCGCGGTTACTCAAGTCGTTAGAATTTTCATTACTTCCTCAGCAAGTTTTGAAGACTCTCGCTTACAACTCGTTGCCGCCCATTCTATGGTCATGTGCGAAGTAACGATAGAAGTGACAAATTACATTCGTTAACACTACTTAAAATATGCAATTACGTCATCATTATTGTTACCAAATGACATTAAGTTATTAAGTCGTCATTAAGAGGAAGTAAATTATATTACCGTGATGACATTACGAGTAACGCGCTAAATGAAAAGCATCACTTTCCAACTCTGCCTCTACGTTTCGAAACTGATGATGGTTTTACCTCGACGCTTTGAGGAATGTTTAACAGTGCCCTCCGCCTCCTCCTCTATGCTCTGACGCGAGTATCGATGGGCAAGTATCCGCGCTTGCCTCGCGGAAAGAAAGGTGCCGTTCCGTAGCTTCATGTTCACGTTACAGCGAAGTAATTAATCCAATTACGAAAGCGAGATAATGCGTGCATGCGTAAATGCATACGTAGCACTCAGGTAAATGGCATTAGCGCGGCAATGAAAGGTCGAGGTCGCGTCGGAGCCTCTGCTACCTGTTATTCCGGGTCAAGATAGTCTTATCCCTTCCTCGCGCGGTCTTTCGTCGGATCCCAACGTCGTTCCGTGATCTCGATTCTCTGTAGAGGCGACACGAGAAAGTTCGCGACGTATACCCATGTAGATATCATTGGCAGACCCCGCGGCTATTATCTCTATCGTGGGTGAGAGCGTGTGGCCATATTTATCGATTTTAAATAATCGAGCTCGCACTACGGACCGTAGCCGTCGCAGACCTTGACCTTCCCACTAGATAATGCTCTGGCGCATGGTGTCTTTCAAAAAGAACACTCTCACGTCGGGATTCGCGTGTTGCGTCACATGCACGCGCCCGTATCACGAGGACGAGGGCGCGCGTGCATCCTGGATTCGGTAAACTCGCGCGTGGTTTGCCCACGAGAAGGAGGATATATTGAAGTGTTCAAGGCGGATGCGTTGGCATTCACCGAGACTATCGCAGGCGCGCAAGCTATGTCTGATTTAGTAACCTCCGCATCTCTCGAGGAGAGAGCGACAGTTCCGTCCGTTCGCTGACGGCGGAAACGTCCCCGAGGTGTGCGGCGTAGTGTCCCGAGCGTGCGCAAGTCTCGCCGAGTCATCGGAGCACCGAAACGTCCATACTCGTGGCGCGTTGCATAACGTGGGGTAGGAGAGAGAGAGAGAGAGAGGGAGAGAGAAAGAAAGAGAGAGAGAGAGAGAGCGAGCGAGCCCTTGGCCGCGGGCCCGGCTTGGCGAAATCAAGCGAGAGAGATGGCCGCGATATTCACGTAGTGCCGCAATTTTCCAGGTCAGTCTCATCGTCGTCGTACGGTGACACGGCCGGTTCGTCGTTGACGTCGTCGGCGAGCGTCGTGGCAAACGGCACCGGCAGCGGCAGGTACAGCGGCTCCACATCGAGCGCCTCGTCCTCAAGGGAGCGCAGCCTCGTCAATACGTCTGCGGCGGACATCATCAGCAGGTATTCGCCAGCCGGTTACGTGCCGAACATCCGTCAGTCCGCCACCAGTGGCGGTAATGCGCATCACTGGAAGTATCGTTCGACGTCGTCGAGCCTCAGCGAGTTGTTCGGCGGTGACGAGCGTGTGGTGATCGAGCATAAGGACCGTCCAGAGTCCTCGCTCTCCTCGTCGTCCTCCTCCTCGTCCGCCGCCGCTACCGGCGCGGGCCTGTGGTCGAGATCCGCCAAGAGGAGACCACCTACGAGCAGCACGGTGCTCACCACCGGGCATGCACGCGCGGACAGCGCCGCGTCTCTCGCCGAGGTAACCATCGACGATCATGTTAGTCGTAAGCTAGACGACGATCACGACGACGACGTTACGAAGGACGTTCACGGCGACGACGATCAGCATAACAACAACGGCAACCTCGGCAACGGGAACGACGGCAAGGGCGCCGGCGGTGGCGAGGCCGCGTGTGGATTCGGCGTTAACAACAACGACAACGAGCGCGACAACCGTGACGACGACGACGACGACGGCGGCGACGAGAACAACGACGACGACGGCGACGACGACGACGACGACCAGGACGACGACGAAAACAGTGACGGCGACAACGACGACGTCGACAATCGCAACAACTGTCCGCACCGCAATCGTCAACAACAACAACACCACCATCATCACCACCACCACCATCACCACCACCACCACCTTCGCCAGCAATGCAGCCGCCGACCCGACGAGGTCTCACCCGCTAAGCGTAACCTTCTCTCTCCCACCGGTGGTGGTGGCGGCTTGATTAGCCTTGACCTGTTAACTAATCTTGCGACTAATCCTCGTAACACTGAACTGCTGATCAATAACAACGCTCAGGACAAGAAGCTGACACTGAGAGGGGAGGAAGCCGCGATTGCGAGCAACGACGACGAGGTAATACGCGCTGTTTCCGACAACGACACTCCCACGTCGATCGACGCGATCACCACGTTTCTGCAGGGTGGTCGCAACGCGGCCAGTGAGCGAGACGTTCTTGAAGATGGCGACGAGGAGAGAAGAACGTCTTACAACATGGGCGAGAACAGCTTCGGTGCCGCGGTCACCGCGACATTGCCGGTTCTACAGAACAGTGTATCCGGTAGATCATCGGTCACTCACGGTGACGAGCCCTCGTCGGCCGTCCCTTCGACGTCGAGGAGAACAGACCAGCCTGCTGGTAGCGGTCTCTTCTCAACGGGCTCCGCGAACAGCATCGCGGCCAACCTGACTTCGTCACCAACAACAAATCCAACGCATCACAGTATCTACCGTGGTGGCAGCGAGCAATACGTGAGTGCGTTTGTGAGAAAGAAAGAAGGGAGATGATGACTACGACGACGACGGCGGGGGTGCGACGGCAGCGGCCCAGCATGGACCCACACGACGTTTCGCGGCACCGCGCCAATTTCTTTCAATCTGTCATTTCTCGCGCGCGCATTTCTTCGCAATCTTCCTCTCATCGTTATTCCCTCGCGATTGTACGTCGGTCGATGCTGTGCCGCGGCCTGTATTCGTAAGAGACGTGTTAGAGTCGGATTAGCAGACACGCAATCATGGTCTTCGCAACGGTTAGTACAGGAAACGTGAGTATAACGTGTGCTCTCTCTCTCATCAATGGAAGCCTCATCGATATGCTTCGATAGGATCGCAGGAGGTGATCGTTATCAAGTCAGGAAGTCTCTCGCGACCTCGCGCAATAATCATGTGCGCCAGCTTCTGCATTTGTAAATTGTAATGTCGGGATCACGTCGATGATCTGATTTTAATCGTCAAATGATTCATCGCGAATCATCCTGTCGATTCGATTCGCGAGGCGCGCACATTGTCGCTTTCGTTTTCCAATTCATTTGTTGATGTACAAGGTCAGTGGCTCTTGACATGCAGTTGAGAGAGAACTGCGTCGCTTTACACGCGATTCATTTACTTCCTGCCGGTCTGGTTACGAAATCTCCTCGCTCCGTCTCCAACTAAAGTCTCCTCGTGCGTTGCTGCGCGGGCATTGCTGCGCTTTATTAATAGCCCAGAGCTCTCCATCTCCCTCTCTTTCTCTCTCTTTCCCACTCTTTCACCTGAATTTGTCGGGAGACAGAGGCACGTTGTCAGTGGACTTGCAACAGTGTTTTGTGACAACTTACGGTAGACTCGGAGTCTGCACGCTCTTCTTCTTCTAGTGACTCTTCGGCGTCCTCGAAATTGCATTGATTCAGTTGGGACAGTTGTGAAGACTGTAGAACGCGACGAGTGAGGCGAACGTGGTTCCATGGTCACGCAGTAAACCGCCGATATCGATGGAGGGTGCGAGTTTCCCGAGTTCCTCGTTGCGTTCTAAGCGCAAAAGAGATCACTGCAGTTTCTCGTCGCGCCTCGATATCTGAACTTCAGTGAAATCGCGTAAAGCTCTGGTACTTCTCGCAGAGCGAGAATACAGTATCTGTCGGATTGTTGTACGGATTGTACGGATTTGTTAAAAACAAACGTGTGGAGCACAACGTGGATCGACATGTGTATGGACGGTCGTATAAGTGACGCCCGATGACGTTACATTGCCTTCCTTCGCTGGCATGAATGAGTAAAACGGACACGTTTCGTGCACACAGCGGAACGCGCGATTTTTCCGACTCGTGAGTCACATTTGTCGCGGGTCTGTCTTGCCGGGACGTTGCCTCAGTAGTCCCGCGTGCAATCGTAGAAACTGGCTTCCACCCAAGTGATAGGATGGGGTTTGTGGTGTTTGTGGACAGTAGTAACCCTCGCGTTTGCTTACGCCTTCCTCCTTGGCATCGCGACGCCTTTAGCCGCCCCCAAACGTATCTCGTCGAGAGTCTGTTCTATACGTGTTGTTAGTCTGACGATAACTCCTTCCGCGCACCCGCTCGCTCCGTCTTCGATCGTGCATTCGCAGGTGAGTATCCGAGAGATTGCGAGCACGTCAAGGTCGTGTATTTTTATCGCCGATTGTTGATCGCTGATTATCGATTAAGATCGAGCGCAGCTTCGCGTCGATTGCCCAGTGTATCGATCATCACCTGTGACGTTCTTCGATCTCGTTTTGTGTGCCTAACAAGATAATTACTAAAACCAACGCACTGCCGTAAGCTGGTGTTGACATGTGACGTGAGTCTGTTTGCTATCCTGTGAGCTATCAGCCAGCCGACTCTTATCGAGCGATTCACGATACTTTCGCCGATTTAAATCATACAAACGAATGTACGGATTTATAGTTTATTCTTGAAGCGAAAAGACGATTCAAGACGACGGTAGTTTGCGAACGATGATACGGACTACATGCGTTCCCGTTTAACTGATAAACAATTTGACGGCAATCTGCAAATAAGGAAAATAGTGATTTCGTGATTTCCAGGAAGGTAGCCCGACCAACAGATCGGCGCGTAACCGCCTGCAAGTTTACCGTGACGAACGATGTGGTCTAAACGGCTTACGGAATATTGGAAATACAGTGAGTACACGTAGAATATATTCGTTTAGCTCGTTTGAACAGAAAGTTAATAATATCTTACTGTTAAATATTTATACTCTATCGCGCGATTGTTTCAGTGTTTTATGAACAGCGTGATCCAGTGCTTAAGTAACACAAGACCTTTATTGGAATATCTACTGAACGAGCAATACCTAGCCGACATAAATACTACCACGTCCAGCATGAAAGGTGCTCTCATCAAAGCGTTCAGCCAAGTGATTCACGAATTGTGGGAGGTGGGCGGTGATCACGTGGTGAACACGACCTCGCTCAAATCTCAGATACAGAGATTCGCGCCGCGCTTCATGGGCTACAGTCAGCAGGACGCTCAAGAGTTTCTCAGATATTTGCTCGAGGGTTTGCACGAGGATGTCAACAGAGTCACCACAAAGTTGCCGCCGATACACGGAGACATACCGGACAGTTACTCGTGAGGGAGCAATTTGTTTTTTATTCGAATTTCCCGTGAGAGCGCGGCGCGCTCGTTTCGGAACGTGCTTGATATTATTGTTCCGCACAGGGAGACGCAGAAAGCGGTGGAAAGTTGGAAGCGATACCTTCGTAGCGAGGACAGCATGATAGTGGACGTCTTCGTGGGGCAGCTGCGTTCGTCTTTGCACTGCACTTCCTGCGATCACGTATCGGTCACGCTTGATCCTTTTTGGGATTTGAGCTTGCCGATACCAGCCAGGAGCGGCACTGTAAAGTTGAGTCAGTGTTTGGAGCACTTCACTCGAGAGGAGGTGTTGGACGGCGATGAAAAACCAACATGTTCCAAGTGTCAGATGAGGAGAAAGTGCACTAAGAGCTTCAGTATACAGAAGTTCCCGAAAATCCTGGTTATTCGTATCCTTTTCCCGAATGAAATTATCGATATATCGTGTATTGGAACGTCCATTTTCTGTAGAGAGAGAGGGTCAAGAGGTTTTCCTTAACGATCTGCTGATTAGACTTAAAACGGTTCTCTCCGATGGAGCGTTTCCGCGGCAAGCTGAACGTGATGGTGGACTTTCCATTGACGGGATTGGATCTCAGTGCCTTTGCCGCCCCGAAAGTTCCGGGCTGTACATACAATCTGTACGGGGTCGCGAATCACTCGGGTACTACGTACTCCGGTCACTACACCGCGTACTGCAAGCACCCGTACTCAGGAGAATGGCACGAGTACAACGACAGCCGAGTGTCCGTTGTGTCGGCACGGTCGGTCGTTTCCAGTGAAGCCTACGTACTGTTCTATGAACAGCAACCTCACAGTTCTCATTTGTAACCTTACGCCATTGCCTAGAAGTAAAACAACAACCATCTTGCCTCTCGATACCTCAGCCTAGTAAAAGTCTGTTTTCTGGTATTGAAAAGCGACTAAACACTGAAAGAAAGAAAAGAAAACGAGGGATCACTGAATGCGATCCGTACAACTTTTCGGGTGTACAATCGGGTGCATCGTGGCCTTGGCGATAATCGTGTCTCTTCCTGCAATAGGTTTCTCGACATAACGTTGCATGTGTGTCACGTCCTTTTATAAAAGAAGAGATTTACGCGTTTATAATTCTGATGTGTATATCGGAATTATACAATAAGTCAGTGTGTACGTATATGTGTACATATAACATGTGCATGTGTGCATATATATACGTATAGATGTACTTGTTGTACACACGTATATGTATATATACTCTCTTGTACATGTATATATACGTACGTGTCGCATAAAAAATTATTTCCGCAGATATTGAGAATCAAATTTAAAATCTATACAAAATTATTTATTCATCTTTTTTTATGTAACGTTTTGTGGTAGGACTTATATTTCTGTTTGAAATAGATTTTTATTTAATTAAAGCATAAAGAAAAATATCAACGCACCGTTTTCGATCTTGGTAGGAAAACACGATAATATGAAGTCGCCGGAGATCACACGCGTATCAGCGCTTCAGATGTCTAGTTACTTTTGAATAGACGAGTAGTAACACATCTCTCTCTCTCTCTTTCTCTAATACACAGACAACACATACACAATCTTCATTGAACACGTGGCGACAGCTATTTACTTTTGTAAAATATTTTGTTTAATAACCACAGTCAAGAGTTATTTATTATATAATTTATGGAAAGAGAAAAATAAAATAATATATTCGATATTAACGAATATAATATATACATTATTATACGTATTACATGCCAATAAAAAAAAGTAGAAACATGCCACAAACGGGACGAATTGATTGGACAAAGTAGTGTTAACTTTACAGTAAAGAAAAAAGGATTGTGTAAGATCATAGTCATAAGTTGCGCGCTTCTATCAGATGAAAGCGATTGGCTGCGTTAAGTGCACAGCGATTGGCTGTGTCAAACGCACAATAGTGCTGCACCAACCGCGAGAAACGCGGCAACTTCAGTTCGGCGATCAATTCGTAAAATGGCGTTCCTACAGTACCGCACAGATGGCGATAACGTTACCTTCGCACGTTGCAACGCTTTTCAACCAGCCAAACGTTCTCCTCGACTTCGCACGTAATTAAATATCGGACTGTATAAATGTGCGCGTACACGAGGGAGAGAACCCACGCGCGAGCACAGAAAGCCAGGTACTAGACAAAGTTTTAACTTGCCGTCTCGTTTTTACTCCCATTGTCTATCTTTCTTTCTCCCTCCGCCCCAGCTCCTCGCAACAGCCCGATTATCGGCGCGCGGCCGATCGAGAAGCCGAAAGCGGTACGAGCGAACGCGCGAACCGGTCTACCAGGCGAATTCGCGACAGACGCGTATGTGCGTACTCGTGTGTGTGTGTGTGTGTGTATGTGCGCGCGCGCGCACACATACGCGCACGTTGAGCGAGACAGGAGCGGGACGGGAGCGGCGGCCGGCGAAGCCGAGTAGTCGTCCAGCGGAGTCGACGTGCCGCCGCCGTGCCGCCGCCTGCCGCCGCCGCCGTGCGTCTCGTCTCCCGTCTGATCGCGTCGCGCCGCGCTGCTCCGCGCGATATTCGCGAGGTCGTCCCGCCGGCCGCCACCAGAGGGGCGATCGGCCGTGAAAAGTCTCATGTGTGCGTCATTCGATTGCAGTCCGGCGATTTTTTGCGAAGGCTGTGCGTCGTCGCGCTCAACGTCCGCGGTCCTCGTGTGGTGACGCGCGTTCGAATTCGCGAAAATCCGTCGGTCAGGCCGCCGTTGGTGTGCGGGAATCGGTCTCTCTTTCTCTATATCTGTATTTATCTCTCTCTCTTTCCATATCGGGTCCTGTCGCGCGTTGCTCTCCTCGCGTTCTCGCCGCCCGACATCTCCGTGTCCTAACCCACTCCTCGCGACGCGAATCTCGTGCCGTTTCTGGCTTCTCTCTCGCTTCCTCTCTTTTTGTCTGCTGACTCTTTCTCTCTTTTTCTTCTCTTTCCTTCTCTCTCACGCTGTCTCGTTCTTCCTCTCTGTTGCTGGGCGCTCGTAGTAACAGGCCGGAAATCGCGTTACGATACAGCCAGTCTGTCATCTTCCTCGCCGGCGGACTACGCGACTGCCTACGCGCCTTGTCCTCGTCGTCAGTTGCGCGAATATATCGGTAGTGGTTCGGTAAGTGGCACCGGTCGTTTCGCGATACGTTACTGGCCCCCGCGGTCCGCGCTCTGCTCGAAGGAACGAGAGAAAGCCCCGGGTGTGCGTGAGGGCAGTGATCTCTTGGAGAGCGGCGACCTGACGTACGTACGAACAGACGTGCCCGACAGATATATAGAAATATATATATATACATACATATATATATATATGTATATATATATATTTGCACGTCTCGCTTTTCCTGCCAGCACGCCGCTTCAATTCGCCGACGCGGATGGATAGGCGAAACCTCGTCGGATGGGATGTATCTCGACGCCGCATCGCGGAGCGCCGGAACCGGCGGAAGGATCGTGAACAGACGAGGTAAAAGATTCAAGTGAACTTAGCTGCTAGTGCCGTCGTCGCCGCCGCCGCCACCGTCGCCACTGTTGGCTGCCGGTCGAGCAGCCGGCAACACGTTCGCGATGCATTGCACACGGTGACGTATCACGCCGATTGGCCGGCATGAGGCTTTTCCGCGAAGCGTCGAGAACGATCGAGATCGAAAATCGCCCTGGGTCGAGCCTTGCATCGAGTCCCTTGCAGCGCGAACCTGGTCGTGCGAAGCTCTTGCACTCGAAGGACTCGGCGTTTACACACGACGACGCGCGGTGTCTGCGTAGAACTCGTCAACGTGAGTCGATCTTATCCTCCTTTTTCGGTCGATCAACGCGTCGGGCATTTTCCTGCGTCGCAAAAACGCGAGTCGCTGGACAGAGAGATACTCAGGAAGTGATGCAACTTAACCTAAATCGAACAGTGACATTCCGAATTTGAACGCAAGACGATGGGGCGATTTTGGAAAAAAGAAAAAGAGCGAAAGAGATAGCGCAATTTCTGACCTCCTCGAAAGGCCGAGAACTCGAGAATCCTTTTCGATAATCCTTTATCAATCTTAATATCCTCCTGATAAGAAAAGGGAATTATCGACGAGAAATTGCGCGGCGAGTTTCCGAGCTGTCGCTCTGGTTATGCGGATCGTCATGTGTAATTATCGACACGCTTGATCGTACGAGGCTGAAGAAACGCGAGAGGCAGTGTCCTAGGTTAGGCTAACGAGATCGTAGATCGCGGAAGGTCACAGTCGCGTCGGCCAGCCGTCCAACTCCGTCATCGTTGCGCCTCGGTCTCCGTCGTTTCGCCTTTCGGGTGTCTCTCAACGCCGACGACTGTTATCGTTCTTTCACGATGACATTCTTCATCGTCGAAAGAGCTTTCCATTTTCTTTGGATTTTTGTAAAACTGACCATTTTGGTTTCCCGTATAGGGCGGGTCCTCGCACGCGGATACGAGAAACCTCTTACGAATTTTCCATCGAATTCATCATCCTACCTCCACGATTTTTCAACCTTACACGAAAGATCGATACCAGTTCGATATTTTGTGACTTTGTGATATCTTGTGGGATATTAATTCGATGATTTGCGACTCTGTACTTTGCGCGACATTAATTCGATTTCATGACTTTGTGGATATTTTGCTCGACGTTGCATCGACATTCTATTGAGGTCTGTGAAATTTTTCTGTGGGTGCATTGTCCGCAAAGTCTGTTCTCGCTGATTTGCGTAACGGACCGTTACCATCAGTGCTCGTATTCGACCGGCCAGGGGAATATTTAATTCGATTGTCCTTTGCACACCGTCGCTGCGTTACGCACCGGCGAAACGCGAGGTCCGTTCTCACGTCCCTCTCAAGAGAGAGGGAGAGAGGGAGAGGAAATGCATTAAGTCATCGTGACGCCACCATTTTGTCGCGTTCTTTAAGCTTTTCGTCTGGGCGGAGCCTTTGACCGCAACCGCCGAGAAACTTTTCCAGCGCTGAATGGGCCGTCTTGCACGAAAGCGAGACGCTCTTTCTCGAGCCGCGACCGCGTTCTCTCGTCTCGCGCTCGCGTAGTTTCCCATGTCGGTTGAGCTTCTGCCGGATCCTTTGTCGATCTCGCACTCTCGTCCATTGTCCGAGTTATCCCGGCGCGGATGCAGCCGGGAGCCTCTGCCATTGCGTTGCACCGCCGAAACGTACCCGGAACCAGTCGAACGGACCCGCGACCCTTTCCCTTCGAGAGTTTTTCATCGAGGTTCGCCGTGCCGGGCCTCCATTGGTCGGGACCCAAAGGAGAATTTTTCCGACGCGCTTCCATTCGCCCTGCCCCCTTCACCGAGCGTTTCCTTTCCAGAGCACGATGGCGGCACGATGCACCGCGAGCGACATTCGCAATGCAACGCGAGCTCGACGGGCTTTTCCATTGATCAGAGGATAACGGTTAGCCAATTAGGACCGGACTCGCCAAGTGTTGCCGTGCGTGAGATCTCTGATAGCTCGAAGAGCACAAACGTCGTGCACTTTGGACTCGTTTAAGCAACAATTCGCCAACAGAATCAACTGAGCTGGAAATCAATTTAATGGGCTTTCTACAATAAGCCGTTAGTCGTAACACATAACGCATAACACATAAGGCATAAGAAAATTCACCAATTGCAGTCTTTCAGAATAGAAATGAAGAATTCTGATTGGTGGATTTTCTTATGGCTTATGTGTTGTGCGTTATGTGTTACGATTAACGGCTTATTGTAGAAAGTCCATTACACTGAGAAAAAAAATATTTGAAAATTTTTATTTGTGAAATATAAAGCTTATTCACACAAAAACAAATTTTACAGAAATATATCTCACAAATAAATATTTTTGACTGCAAAACATTTGGTTTTAAAACATTCTCTTTAAATGAAAATTTTACTGAAGATTTATAGTATATGTAACGTCAGCTATACATTTTCAGTAAAATTTCTCTCAAAAAGGATGTTTTGGACACGCAATCTTGATAAGTGATTAACCTCAGCAACACAGTTTTGCATTGCCGCGAAATTTCAACATTATTTTTATTTCCCTGTTATTCTTCCGTTGGTAAGTCGTCATCCGCGATGCACTAAAACACGTTGTGCGTTTTACAATAATAATTTCTCGAGCTATCAAAAATGTTACAGCACCTCGCAATTCATCGCTTTCCAATTAGCACTCGACTTTCTGCGCGTTTCGCGAAGCGATAATATAGAACCGCGAACGTTCCCAGAGGTACACCAGCCGTGTTCCGTGACGTACACGGACGTGCGCGCTCTTACACACAAACCTGATCGATTACGGCTTCTTATGTCGCTCACAGAAATGATTGCTCTCGTTCGAAATGCTCTTTCATCGACGCGCACGGAACTTGAGTTTCGTTGGAAAGCCATTCTCCGTCTATAGTCTGTCTGGCCGAGACGAAATAGACAGACGAGCGGACGGACGAACACAGGTAGACGTGTGGGTACTCTACTCCTGTGGAGGAGACTCTCCACGAGACAGTACGCGCATATGCGTGCGCGAATAATGTGGCGAGGAAGAGAGAGAAAGAGAGAGCCCGAGAGAAAGAGCAGGAGAGAGACAGAAAGAGAGAGAATACGAGAGAAAGAGAGAGAGAGAGAGAGAGAGAGAGAGAGAGAGAGAGAGAGAGAGAGAGAGAGAGAGCACACACGCGTGCACACCTGCGCGCGTGTGTGTAAATGTGTGTGATGCTGGATCGCGCAGGTGTGCGCGCGATT